TTTGTGTGTTGTCTGTGTGTTTTTGTCTGTGCGTTTTCTGTGTGTTTTCTGTGTTTTCTGTGTATTTTGTGTGTTTTGTGTGTATTTTGTGTGTTTTCTGTGTTTTGAGTGATTAATTTGTGTGTTTTCTGTGTGTTTTGAGTGTTGTCTGTGCGTTTTCTGTGTATTATGTGTGTTTTCTGTGTGTTTTGTGTCTTTTCTGTGTGTTTTGAGTGTTGTCTGTGCGTTTTCTTTGTATTTTGTGTGTTTTCTGTGTTTTGAGTGATTATTTTGTGTGTTTTCTGTGTGTTTTGAGTGTTGTCTGTGCGTTTTCTGTGTATTTTGTGTGTTTTCTGTGTATTTTGTGTGTTTTCTGTGTGTTTTGAGTGATTATTTTGTGTGTTTTCTGTGTGTTTTGAGTGTAGTCTGTGCGTTTTCTGTGTTTTCTGTGTATTTTGTGTGTTTTCTGTGTGTTTTGAGTGATTATTTTGTGTGTTTACTGTGTATTTTGAGTGTTGTCTGTGCATTTTCTGTATATTTTTTGCGTTTTCTGTGTGTTTTGAGTGTTATCTGTGCATTTTCTGTGTATTTTGTGTGTTTTCTGTGTGTTTTAAATGTTGTCTGTGCGTTTTTGTGTGTATTTTGTGTGTTTTCTGTGTTTTGAGTGATTAATTTGTGTGTTTTCTGTGTGTTTTTAGTGTTGTCTGTGCGTTTTCTGTGTATTATGTGTGTTTTCTGTGTATTTTGTGTCTTTTCTGTGTGTTTTGAGTGTTGTCTGTGCGTTTTCTTTGTATTTTGTGTTTTTTCTGTGTATTTTGTGTGTTTTCTGTGAATTTTTGTGTTTTCTGTGTGTTTTGAGTGATTATTTTGTGTGTTTTCTTCGTGTTTTGAGTGTTGTCTGTGCATTTTCTGTGTATTTTCTGTGTGTTATCTGTATATTTTGAGTGTTAAGTGTGTATTTACAGTATAATGTCTTTGTTCAGGGTGAAAGTGGTTCTGAGGACTGCGTTCGTGCTCTGGAAACCCTCTTCAGTGTCCTGTTCTCCATGTGCAGACTGATGGTGAGTCTCTGCAAACACTATCAACCTCTGTGGAAACTCGAGTGCAGCAATGCTTGAGGAACTGTTGCAATATAATTATTTCTAATGTTAAGTTTACTGCGTCACTCGCTAGTTTACTCGTGTGATGTTTTTACCTCACTCAAATTCTTTTGATTTCGTTGATTTATTTGAACCTGTGCATTAGACGTGATTAAAGTGAATTATGCGCAGCCACAGCAAATGTGACTCGTTTCACTCGTTTGCGTTGACTTTGTGTGTAATATGTACTTGCACTGATGCATATAATTTAGCTTGGCGTTTGACCCAGCATGAAATAAATGAAGATTAAATATTTTTTTTTATTAATTAAAATATTGGTTCAGTTTTACAAATATCTATTTATATTTACATAAAATATATTAATATGTAATACTTTATATAATATTTTTTTTGTATAACTCCTCAAATGGACTTTGGTTGTGTTAAAATTGTGCTCTATAAATAAGTTTGCCTTTCATTTCTTAATAATAAAAGTAATAATAATAATTGTAATATTAATTGAAATGATAATTGCATTTTTTGGTCATTTCAGTCATAGTTAATGCTAATATATTGACATTAATAATGAGCCATGCATTTTGGTTATATTGTTTTATTCGTTGTTTTTAATGTCATAAATGCAACAAACACACAACTGTAATGTCAAAATAAATAAATGCTTCTGGAACGTTCTCTGCTGTTAATGCAAACTAAATCCAGTTTTAGAATCTGATGTGTTTAGTGTAATAGTCGTCCACATGTTCACAACTGTGAGAGCAGGGCATCAGTAGAGCTCATTTACTCTAATAATTAATTGCTGACCCAAAAGATACGAGTCAGAGATCAGTTGATGGATAAGCGGAGGATCAATGCTCCATTTTACACCTCACTGACTCTGAATAACACTATGATGCTTTATTAATCTTCATAAGAGCTCGCAGTGGCCTGATTATTGCTGAAGCGGGTGATGAAAGAGTGGAGGAAACTCAGAAATGAGCATATCAGACCCCCTAGTACTGATTTTAGGGGTGGTAATTGGCAGACAATTTTGCCAAAAAAAAAAACTGTTTTGAATGTCTTTGGTGTGTTTTTTGTGTGTGCTGCTGGAGTGATGAAGTGTTTGTGTTTTCAGGCTCCGTTCACTCCGTTTATAACCGAGCTGATGTACCAGAACCTGCGGCACCTGCTGGACCCGGCAGCAGTGGAGGAGAAGGACACCGGCAGCATACACTACCTCATGCTGCCACAAGTCAGGTACACACACCACACACACACACACCCACAGCCTGATAACACTCTATACTACAGGCTCTGTTGAATGCTTGACTCTGATTGGCTGATGAGCACTCTGTGGTGTTATTGTCTGATAATCGCACAGCTAAAGTAGTTCCAGCAGGTTTAGAGCACATCACAGCTCCTTATCACTCCGCTGAAGGAGGTATTTTACAGCTACAGCAGTCAGAAATCCCAACAGGAGGAGGAGGAGGAGGAGATGAAACTAGTGCTACACACAGGAGACGTTTGAGGAGGACAAACACCTGACAAATACACTCTCAACACACAACATCAGTGTTTGATTTAGGAATTATTTGGACAAGAAATAAGAGAAAAACAAAGACAGACACTCATTTGTTGCAGTGTGTGTGTGTTTTTATCCTCATGTCTCCTTGTGTGATTTAGCAGATGTCCTTTAGTCTGCCTTAAACACACACACACACACACACACACACATTTTCCAGAGCGCACTGGTCTGCAGTTAAGCTGAAGGTCTGCTGCTGTAAACGGCTGTAATGTCCTGCATTACTGTGTATTAATAAGCTGAGCGGTGTGTGTGTGTGTGTGTGTGTGTTTCTCTCAGAGGTGACCTGCTGTCACAGACGTGGAGAACATCCAGAGGACACACACACACACACACACACACACTCTCTTCGTCTGATGGAAAAACATCATGTACTGATGCGCTCCCGCTGATAAACGCCTCAGATGGATGTTTTACAGTAGACATGATGTGATGCATGTAGAGTCGGCTCTATATCAATCTCCAAACCGCAGTAAAGCTTAAAAGCCTTCATCACCCCATGACTTATTTTACATGACCCAATCATCTCAGTTCGGGTTTCACTAAGCAGTTAAAAATGTGGCAAAAAACAATGGAAACCTAGGTAATGTCCCCACAATTCACAAAAACCAACATGTGTGTGTGCGTGTGTGTATATATTAGAGAGAGAACGACCTGTTGTAATGGTAGTCGTGTGTCTGTCCTATGACTGTGTTTGTGTGTGTGTGTGTGTGTGTGTCGCAGGGAGTCTCTGATTGACCAGCGTATTGAGAGTGCGGTGTCTCGGATGCAGTCGGTCATTGAGTTGGGTCGTGTAATCAGAGACAGGAAGACTCTGCCCATCAAGGTGAGTTTCTGCCTGATGATGGAGAGTGTGTGTGTGTTTTACTGCTGCTGATGGAGTGTGTGTGTGTGTGTGTGTGTGTGTGTGTGTGTGTTTCAGTATCCGCTGAAGGAGGTGGTGGTCATCCATCAGGACCCAGAGGCTCTCACTGATATCCAGTCCCTGCAGAACTACATCCTGGAGGTCAGAGACACTTTCTGCACACACATAGGTCCTGTAGACATTTCCTGTAGACTCCTCTCACACACACACTTTCTGGCAATACTTATGTCATACATTTCCCACACACACACTTCCTGCTTACACTTCCCACAGACACTTCCTGCAAACACTTTCTTCCCGTAGACACTTCCCGAACACGTTTCTTGCACACACTTCCTGCACACACTTCCTATTGACACTTCCTGCACACACTTCCTGCACACACTTCCTATTGACACTTCCTGCACACACTTCTTATTGACACTTCCTGCACACACTTCCTATTGACACTTCCTGCACACACTTCTTATTGACACTTCCTGCACACACTTCCTATTGACTCTTCCTGCACACACTTCCTGCACACACTTCCTATTGAAACTTCCTGCACACACTTCCCTCAGACACTTCCTGCACACACTTCCTATTGACACTTCCTGCACACACTTGCTGCACACACTTCCTGCACATAGTTCCCGCACACACTTTTAAAACACGCTTCCTATTGACACTTCATGCACACACTTCCTGTACACACTTGCTGCACACACTTCCCGCAGACACTTCCTGCAAACGCTTCCTATTGACACTTCCTGCACACACTTGCTGCACACACTTCCTGCACATAGTTCCCGCACACACTTTTAAAACACGCTTCCTATTGACACTTCATGCACACACTTCCTGTACACACTTGCTGCACACACTTCATGCACACACTTTCTGTACACACTTGCTGCACACACTTCCTGCACACACTTCCCTCAGACACTTCCCGTAGACACTTGCTGCACACACTTCCCGTAGACATTTCCTGCACACACTTGCTGCACACACTTCCTGCACAAAACTTCCCACACTCACTTCCTGCATGTTAAAATATATTTGAGAAGGGCTTTTTGTCAGACTACACATTAAATAAATCTTCTGATTCAATGATCTTCTCATGATTCACTGATAGGCTTCTGGTTTATGACCTGACCTGAAACTGATTAACTAGCTATGGCTATCGTCTCCTGATTGCCTGACCGACTCTTGATTCACTGACTCAATGACCGTCTCCTGATTCACTGACTGAATCCTGATTCACTGACTGACTCTTGAATCACTGACCATCTCCTGATCCACTGACTGACTTTTGATTCACTATCTCCAGATTTACTGACCGTCTCCTGACTCGCTGACTTTCTCCTGATTCTCTGACCATCTCCTCATTCCCTGACTGATTCCTGATTCACTGACTCCCTGACCGCTTCCTGATTTACTGACTGATTCTTGATTCACTGAACGTCTCCTTATTCACTGACCGACTCTTGATTCACTGACCGTCTCCTGACTCACTGACCTTCTCCTAATTCACTGACCGTCTCCTCATTCCCTCCCTGACCGATTCTTGATTCACTGACTCACTGACCGTCTCCTGATTCACTGTCTGACTCTTGATTCACTGACCGTCTCCTGATTCCCTGACAGACTCTTGATTCACTGATTCACTGACCATCTCCTGATTTACTGACTGACTCTTGATTCACTGATTCACTGACCATCTCCTGATTTACTGACTGACTCTTGATTCACTGGCCATCTCCTGATTTACTGACTATCTCCTGATTCACTCACCATCTCTTGATTCACTGACTGTCTCGTGATTCACTGACCGTATCCTGATTCACTGACTGACTCTTGATTCACTGGCCATCTCCTGATTTACTGACTATCTCCTGATTCACTCGCTATCTCTTGATTTACTGACTGTCTCCTGAATATCTCTCGATTTACTGTCTTCTGATTTACTCACTGACTCTTGATTCATTGACAATCTCCTGATTCACTCTTGATTCACTGCCTTTTAATTTACTGACTGACTCTAGATTTACTGACCGACTCCCGATTCACTGTCTCCTAACTCACTGACCTTCTCCTGACTCACTGACCAACTCCTGATTCACTGACTGACTCTTGATTCACTGACCTTCTCCTGACTCACTGACCAACTCCTGATTCACTGACTGACTCTTGATTCACTGACCTTCTCCTGACTCACTGACCAACTCCTGATTCACTGACCGACTCTTGATTCACTGACCAACTCCTGATTCACTAACCGACTCTTGATTCACTGACTGTCTTCTGATTCACTGACCAACTCCTGATTCCCTGACCGACTCTTGATTCACTGACTACTGATTCACATACCAACTATTGATCTAGTATGTGATTAAGTGTTCAGTGTTCAGTGTTCAGTGTTCAGCTCAGACTGAAGGTGGTGTGTGTTTGTGCAGGAGCTGAACGTGCGCCAGCTCACTCTCTCCACTGATAAGGACCGATACGGCATCCGTCTGCGGGCCGAACCCGATCACATGGTGCTGGGCAAACGGCTGAAAGGAGCCTTTAAATCCGTGACCGCGTCCATCAAAGAGCTGAAGAGTGAAGAGCTGGAGGAGTTCCAGAAGACAGGCAAGAGCACCACACAAACGCACGAACACACCCTTACTGATATGAACTGAAGTCTAATGTGTTACTCTGATATGAGCATCAGCCCTATGCTCATCATCAGGGTTTGTTAATAATAATAATAGTATAATATTGATGAGTGTTATATGATATATTAGTGTAAGGTAGTGCCAGCAGGAGTGTGAGGAGCTCAGCCAGCCGTGATAATCAGACTTTACACAGCACATCTGATAGTCTTGTCTTTCTGAAGCGTCTCCATGCCTGTTATATGTAACAGTGGTGCTGTAATGAGCGAAACACCCGATAACACTGCAGATCAGATCAGATGAGGGCAGGCAGTGTGTGTGTGTGTGTGTGTGTGTGTGTGCAGATAACTCCCTGTTTAAAATGGTCTCAGTGACACCAACACAAACCTGAAAACATTTAGAAGTGTAAAACTGATGATGGCTGCCATAAGCACCTCGTCTCTTCTTTTCTTTTTATGTCTCCTCTTTTCATTTTGCCTCATTTCTTCTCTTTTCACCTCATCTCATCTCTTTTCATCTTGTTTTGTCTCTTTTCTCCTCTTCTCTTCTCCCCTCTTCTCTTCTCCTCTTCACATCTCTCCTCTATACTCTCTCTCGTCTTCTCATCTGGTCTTTTCTTCTCTTCTCATTTCACATGTTCTCGTCTCGTCTTGTCTCTTTTTTCATCTCCTCTTCTCATCTATTTTCTCCTCTTCTCATATTCTCAGTCTATCTCTTCTCACCTCATCTCTTTTCTTCTCTTCTCATCTCTTCTCTTAACTTCTTTTCTTTTTGTCTTCTCTTTTCATTTTGCATTGTCTCTTTTTTCCTCTTCTCTTCTTGTCTCTTCTCACCTCTTCTCAACTCACCTGTTCTCGTTTAGTCTTCTCTCTTTTCTCCTCTCCTCGTCTCACCCCTTCTCATCTCATCTCTTCTCTTTTTGTATTGTCTCTTTTCTCCTCTTCTCATCTCTTCAATTCCCTTCTCTTTTTTCCTCTTCTCATTTTGTCTCTTTTCTTCTCTTCTCATCTCAACCACTTTTTCGTCTCTTCTTTTTTCATCTCATCTCTCCTCGTCTCTTTACTCTTCTCCCTATCTCTTTTCTTTTAGTCTCTCCTCGTCTCTTTTCCTTACGTCTCTATTCTTTTCTCATCTTGTCTTTTTTCTCATCTTCCCTATTTTCTCCCTATCTCTTTTTTTGCCTCTATTCTTTTCTGTTCTTGTCTCCCCTTTTCTCCTCTTCTCATCTCTTTTCTCTTCCCTTCTCATCTCGCCTAGTCTCTTCTCTTTTCTCCTCTTCACGTCTCTTTTCATCTAGTCTCCTTTTTGTCTTTCCTCTTCTCATCTTGTTTTCTTTCGTCTCTTTTCTTTCCTTGCCTTTTCTCATCTCCTTTTTTCTCTTCTATTCTCATCTAGTCTCTTTTCTCTTCTCCCTATCTTTTCTTTAGTCTCTTCTCCTTCCCTTTTGTCTTTTTTCTTTTCTCAACTCATCTCTTCTCGTCTCTTTTCTCTTCTCCCTATCTTTTCTTTTAGTCTCTTTTCCTTATCTCTTTTTTCTTTTCTCGTCTCGTCTCTTTTCTCCTCTCACCTTTTTTCTCTTCTCCCTGTCTTTCTTTTTGTCTCTTTTCTTTTCTCGCTTCTTCTCGTCTCTTCTCTTTTCTCCTCATCACGTCTCTTTTCATCTCGTCTCCTTTTTGTCTCTTCTCGTCTCGTTTTCTTTCGTCTCTATTCTTTCCTCGCCTTTTCTCCTTTTTTCTTTTCTTTTCTCGCCTCTTCTCGTCTCCTTTTCTCCTTTTCACGTCTCTTTCATCTAGTCTCCTTTTTGTCTCTTCTCTTCTCGTTTTCTTTTATCTCTTTTCTTTCCTTGCCTTGTCTCATTTCCTCTTTTCTCCTCTCTTCTTTTCTCATCTCGTCTCTTCTAGTCTCTTTTCTCTTCTCCCTATCTCTTTTCCTTTTGTCTCTTTTCTGTCTTTGCCTCTTCTTGTTTTCTCTTTTCTCCTCTTCTCATCTCTTCTTTTCTCGTCTCATCTCTTCTCGTCTTTCTTCTCCCTATTTCTTTTCTTTTTGTCTCCTTTCTTTTCTCATCTCGTCTCTTTCTCATCTCGTCTCTTTTCTCATCTTGCTTCTTTTCTCTTCTCCCGGTCTCTTTTTTTTCCTCTTTTCTTTTCTCGTCTTTCCTCTTTTCTCCTCTCTTCTTTTTTCGTCTCTTTTCTTTTCTCCTTCTCATCTCTTATCTTCTCGTCATCTCATCTCTTCTTTTCTCATCTCGTCTCTTTTCGTCTCTTTTCTCTCCTCATCTCTTTTTTTAGTCTTGTCTCTTCTCGTCTCTTTTCCTTACATTTTCTTTTCATCTTGCCTCTTTTCTCATCTTGCCTCTTTTTCTCTTTTCTCTCTATTTATTTTTTGTCTCTTTTCTCTTCTCTTCTCTTCTCGCCTCATCTCATCTCTTCTCTTTTCTCATCTTCTAGTTTCTTTTCTCTTCTCTTATCTTTTCTTTTTTCTTTTCTTCTCTTTTCTCCTCTTCTCATCTCTTTTCTTCATCTCTTTTCTTCTCTTCTTTCCTCTCCTCTTACTCTGCTCCTCTTTTCTCCTCTTACCTCTCTCCTCATCTCTCCTCCAGGTTGTATAGTGGTGGATGGTCATGACCTGCGTGAGGAGGATCTGCGTCTTATGTACACCTTCGATCAGTCGTCTGGATCCGCGTCTCAGTACGAGGCTCACTCAGACGCTCAGGTGCTCCTGTTCTCCGAATAATAAACTCACTCCTGCAGAAACGTGAATCTGACGGACGTGTGTTTCCCTCAGGTGCTGGTTCTGCTGGACGTCACGCCGGATCAGGCCATGCTGGACGAAGGAGTGGCCCGAGAGGTCATCAACCGCATCCAGAAACTGCGTAAGAAGGTGAGATTCTGCGGGAAATTGATGAGATATAAAAACTAATCCACTTCCATCCAAAGAATCCAAACTGAAATATTATGATAAGTATTTGTGGATAAAGCAGCTTTTCCATCCAATGAGAAAAAAACGAGAAGAAAATCATCAGTTCCTGCTAAACTTGCACAAATAATGGACAGAGACATGTAGTTAAGAGAATTGGCAGAAGCCACTGTGGTTTTTTTCTTTTCTGTCATGTTTAAATCTACTACAATCTCTTATTTTAAACCAGTGGTCTCAAACTCAATTCCTGGAGGGCCGCAGCTCTGCATAGTTTAGCTCCAACCACTCCCGACTCCTGCTTAATAGACTCTAGTAGTCTTGAACACCTTGATTAGTTGGATCAGCTGTGTTTGATTAGGGTTGGAGCAAAACTGTGAAGAGCTGCGGCCCTCAAGGAATCAAGTTTAAGACCTAAGGTTTAAACTAAAGTTGATGTGTAATGAAGCTGTGTGAACATAAACAGAGGCTGCGTCCGAAACCGCCTACTACTCAGTAGGTACTGTATTTGAATTTAAACGTACTATTCGGCCTTTAGAAAAGTACGTTCTATACAGTATGAATGTGAAAAGTATGAATGGAATTCGGACGTACTACATCCGCCATTTTGTCATGGTCACATGACCTACTAGTGTCCTACAAGTGATTTGCGTCGTTTCACTTCCATTCATGAATTCTCTCACGGGGCATCATGGGATAGCGCAGCATGCATGGGATGCGCACTCCAGAATCTCGCCGGAAGTAGTAAGTCATCCGGGTACTTATTTTTGAATTCTATGAATTCGGACATACTACTCGGCTCGCAGACTGATTTTAGCGTACTGTATAGTACGGAAGTATGCGATTTCGGACGCAGTCAATATGTTTATGTTCACTACAAAAAAATACATCCGGGTTAGTGAGATCACAAGCTCTTCAGGTTACGTGCATTCACCACACGCACACACCCTGCGCAGCCAAGGGGGCGTGGCAGAGAAATACAGTCCAAACACTGCTATTTCCACAGCGCTTCTTCTGTTTCTGTAGTTGAGTGTCCAAAGGACACGACACGAAGAGGGCAGTACTTACAATTTATTTTAATTATGTTCCAGAGAACTATAAAAATATATACTCTAGCATTTGACAAAGGATAACGTCCAGAATCTCTACCAGTTCAGTGCTGGATTCAGCTAAACACTCCTCAGAGAAAAAGCAGCTCTAAACAGAACAGATGAATGGACTGTGGATTGTGAGCCACAACCTGTGTATTTATTTGTTAAAATTTATCTATTACATGCATAGTGTCCAGCGTTAATGGTATGTTGTAGCGAGGACGTATACAATGGGAAGTGCTGTTTGGCACCGCTAACAATTTAGCTACAGATTCATATTTATCCCTCAAACCACTGTAAACAGCCACAATCTTCAGCAGCGCTGCAGTGTCTCTCTATGTGGACACTTTCTCTGTGTTCTACATCTCAAATAACCAACTCATAAAACATATTTGACGCGTTCATATTACTGACACGTGCTTATAACCCGAATATATTTAAAAGACACTTGTCAGATGATATTTTAGAGAGCAGGCGTGAGGTTCAGCTGTGTGCTCTTCATTTTCCGTCTGATTCAGGCTCACACTGACGCGGCTACACCAGGCCCTACATCAGATAACAACATTTTTTTTTTTTTTTTGCGATGTGTTTCATAACTTAAAAAGATAAGATGTGACCGTGAGCTTTAAAAAACATGTTTTGGTAAGCCAGACTCATTTACAATTTTGAGTAAAGTGTTCTGTTTTAATAATTTATTTAATGCTATATGCAAAATAAACTCTATATGCTATAAATGGTAATGTATTAGCTGTTTACCACTAACAACTAGGCTAATATGTAAAGAAAATCTGCTATTCAAAAATTTGTTTGTTAGTTATAAAAAATACTAATGTCCATATTGGCTCTGGTGCATTAAATAATAATTAATAATAATTTAATAAAATATAATAATTTAATAAAATATAATAATTAAATAAT